GTCAGGATGCTGTGGGGCCGGGATGCTGTGGGGCTGGGATGCTGCGGGATCAGGATGTTGTGGGGTCAGAATGCTGCGGGGTCAGGTCGATGTGGGGTCAGGATGCTGTGGGGCCGGGATGCTGTGGGGTCAGGATGTTGCGGGATCAGGACGCTGTGGGATCAGGATGTTGTGGGGTCAGGATGCTGCGGGATCAGGATGCTATGGGGTCAGGACGCTGTGGGGCAGGGATGCTGTGGGGCAGGGATGCTGCGGGATCAGGATGCTGTGGGGTCAGGGTTCTCTGGGGTCAGGATGTTGCGGAATCAGGATGCTATGGGGCCGGGATGCTTTGGGCCGGGATGCTTTGGGATCAGGGCCTGCGGGGCCGGCAGCCGCCGCCCGCGCCACAGGCACGGTCCGAACTTCCCGGTCCACAGAAAGCGCTGGAGGACGGGAGCAGGACGGAGCAGGACGGAGCTAGGAGGACCCCGTGTGTCCGGCGATCCCAACTACAGGCGGTGTAATTCCCTGTGCGGGCGCTGGGAACAATTTCTCTCAGGGCTCCTGGTTGGCTGGGCTTTTTAAACTGTGTCACTGCGTCCCTTTTTCTTTTTAGAGGAGAAAGCATCAAGGAGGCCTGGGCCATCTCTGAAGTGTAACTGGGTGGGTTTGGTTTTCTCCTGCACTTGGAAGAGGGGATGTGGCAGCGGCTGACGTGCAGCCGTGACCCACGAGGGGATGCCCGGGGTCTGACCCAGGAGCAGGGCAGGGCATCGCCCCCGGGCCTGTCCGAGCAGCAGCCCCCTCTGAGCAGGGAATGAGAGCAGCAGGAGGTGCCACTCCTGGCCTCGCTGAACAGGGGACCATGGTAGTAATGTCCCCCCAGCCCCCTGAAAGGTTCCCATGCTGGCCTCAGGCTGCAGAGCTTGGGGACAAGAGACTCTAAATGAGTCAGGTTGGTCCTGGAGTCTGGCTCAAGGCTTGGGAGCTACTGGGGAGCTCTCAGAGCACCAGGGACACAAGAAACAAGAACAGCATCACTTTGATACGTTCATGTGTGCACAAATATACAATGAGAATAATGATTATATTATAATGTATAATAGAATTATTGCTGGGTCAATCTATGTATTATAAATGGAGAGATTACATTTGTATATGGTTATAATACTTAATAGACATTTGGCTTATGTTTGTCTACATATGTGGTCTGTACACCATCCCATTTACTATATAAATACTCATGTACTCCCCAGCATAAAAGAGAGTACCTTCTCTTGCTGCACTGTTGAGCTTTGCCACGGCCCAGCATGGCTCAGGAGTTAATGAAGAGCCAGCCCCTTCTTCCCGTTGCCTCCAGCAGCTCCAGCCTTCTGAGCACTCTGCCAGTGCTGTGGGTTTGCTGTGCTATGGAGCTCCTCGCCCCATCCCTCATGGCCCATGTGGAGCTGTTGAGTTTCTCCTTCCACTGGAACAAAATGGAGCTTCAGTGATCAGGAGGTTTCCTTCCAGACTTTCCTGTGCACCATGGATTGTGTTGTTTACCAGCTGGAGGATTAAATAGACTGTCATTGAAGAGAAAAAAAAAAAAAAAGTGTGTTCAAGTATGTCTTGGAAGCAGTGTCTCCCTTGAAGGAGGCTTTTCAGACTTACTGTGTTTGCTGGCTAGCACTTTGCTTGTCCCTGGTAAGGAAGCTCCATCTCACAGAGAGTTTCTGGAAAATTACTGTGTTAGGATGGAGGCAGTGAGTGGAAGCAGTGAGGGGAAAAAATAAATGATTTGACTATCCCTGAAAAAAAAACCCTGTTCCCATCTGCATCTACAGACGGTGACAGCCCCTTCTTTGCCTGCAAAGAAAAACCCTTATGAACCCAGGAATGGGGGAACCCCTGACTGCCCTTCCTCCCTGGTTCATCTGGGATTTCCCCAAGGTCCCAGCAGCCAGCCCAGCACCCCAACAGACGTGGTGCTCCAGGGCACCCACCTCCTCCCAAACTCCTGTGCTCTTCCTCAGCCCCATCCCACAACACTGATATCAGCCTGAGATTTAGTTTATTGGGCACAGCTAGTGGCTGATGTCAGGAGTGAGCCTACCTGCACTGCTAATACAGTGGGAATTTAAACCATGGGATGCTAAAAAAAATGTATATATTGTTTCACTGCCCACTACTAGAGTCTAGATTGGCTGCCTAATGGCCGCACAGCGTTCAAAACCAGCCAATCTCATTCTCTGCCAACACTCCACATTTTCCTTTATTCCCTCTAAAGATTACAGCAAGGTGAGCCTTCCACAAGCATCTCAGAGCACTGGATGGGTTTCTCAGTGCAGGACCAGCACTGAGCCCAAAGGGGCAGGTCAGCAGCCAAGGACTAAAGAGCAGCAAGGAAGAAGCTCTCTTCTTCCACCTCCTTTTTTAAGGCTATTGCTTATTTGGGAGCTGTGAGGACTAAATACAAGTAAAAGCCACTGTTGGCTGAAGCTGAGGTGCTGGTGTCCCTGGCAGGGTGGGTGCAGCCCAGTGACAAGCTGGCCACAGTAATGACACAGACAGCAGCAGAGAAGCCAGGCTGGCAATGATTTCCCTGCTGGCTTAGACAGAAATCCCTGTGAAATGTCCCCACCCTGTCTGGGCTCTGCTACCCACACAAGTCTGCTCTGAAACTGAAATTTGTGGAGAAAAAGGGAGTCAAACAACCCCCTCCTCAAATCTCCTCCCTGGCCAAATTGCTCCACCACAGCACCACAGGGAGCATAAAACCAGGTAGGGCCTGCTGCGAGGTACTGAAAATTCCTAGAAGCTGAGGAGCCTGCAGGTATTTAAGCATCAAATTTCTGCTTTTAAGGGAAGGGAAGGGGAAGGATGCCTGGACAACTCAGGGGCTTCTGGGCCTCCTGGGATGGCTGGGGCAACTGGTGCCAGGGGACAGAGCAGTGCTGCCCACTCACTAGGAGGGCTGGGGCTGCTTTCTTAGAGGAGCAAGTTCAGAGAGAGTTACAGGAATGCTGATCCAAGCTGTGCTCTGGGGTTACATATCAGCCTTGTTAGCAAAGACCCTTTCTCATTTGCACAGAGAAGAGGAAAGAGTAAACAGGCTGAGCAGCCAAATAACTAGCCTCTCACTGCCCTTAAAAAAAAAAAAAAAAAAAAAAAAAGGAAAAAATCCCCTTTTATTGAAACCATTTCCTTTGGTTATATCATTTCTCTTGAAGCTGGAAGCAATTTCAAGTCTTAAGTGCATTCCCTGCACTATGTCCACAGGCACAAGGCTGATGCTTGGCTGCCCACCAAGGGGTGCCCTGGCGAGCAGCACGTCTTGCTGTGCCCTCTGTCATTTCCACACGCCAGTCCTGAGCCCCAGTGCCTCCTGCAAGGGGGGAACCCCCAAGCCCAGCACAGGCAAGGTGCAGCGTGGGTCACCTTGGCACAGCTGAGTCCCACAAGTAGGACACAGATGGCATCCATTATGTGTTCCCATCCCTGTCCTCTGTCAACAGTGACAACCAGATTAAGCCGAGTTCTGCCCAGAAATCCCCCAGTGAAGGGACATGCCAGTGCCAGGGCTTTGCTGGAGGCACACAGCAGAGAAGCAGCTGTGCAATGGGCACTGGGATTTGATGCTGGAGGAGTGTGACTGGCGTCCCTTGCACCAGTCACTGGCTCCAGTCTAGGTATTTTGCAGGACTGGAGGAAGCAGGGGCAAATCTGTGTTATTAAGAGAAAAGCAGAAGGAGTTTCACATGTTCAGGATCCTGTAGAGGGCTGGGGTGCCCCCAGCAGCCTTACCTGGTTCACAAGAGCAGCACAAGCACCAAGCTCCAGAGAGGACCTCTCTGAGGTGGTGGGGACAATGAAGCAAGGAGGAGGAACATGGTGTTGAGGCAGGAGGAGTTACTTGCCAGGACTGCTCAAGCCAGTGCCAAATTTGAGCTATTGAAGCTTTACAAAGCAAAGCATTAAGCTGAAGTTATTAAAATATATACATAAACATCCTCTAAGGTGCTCCTCAAACTGGGACTGGCAGTCAGATGCTTTGCTTTCCCCACAGGTTGCAGCAGGGGTGAGGCAGTGACCCAAGGCAGGGCAATGTGTGCTGAAACATCCCAGCCAGGGAGCTGCTGTGCACAGCCTCTCCAGCTCAGCAGCACCAGGCAATTTGTCCTTCATGACAAGACAAAAAAGGAAAAGGAAACTTGGGGAAAGGGGAGGCTACAGCTCTTTTTTTTTTTTTTTTTCTCCCTTCCAGGGAGTGCTTTTCCCCATGCCTGGCAGCCCAGAGCTGCTCAGCTCTCACTGTTAGGGACCTTCAGCCATGTGTGGAAGCCATGCAGGGGCTTCAGCTTTGCAGTGGCTCTGGGACACCAGAGCAGAACTGGGAGAAATGAAACATCCAAGGCCAGCAGGCACTCAACACAGCTGAGGTTCAAGTGTTTTAGAGCTGGCCAGGTCCTTGAATAAGGCATCATGGAGAACGTGACCTCCCCTTTTCCCTTCTCCAAGAAGAAGGCAGATAATTAATAAAGGTGAAGCCTAGTGACATTTTTCAAAGGTTTGATCCATATCCTCACCTCCTGACTCTTCAGCATCTTATCATCTGGAGGAGTCTATTGCTTCTTCAATTTCAGTGAGAATTGGCTGCTTCCAGCCCCAAAAGCCTCCCTGACATGTCCTTGGTAGCACCAGATTGCCACCCTGGAGCAAGGACCTGAGGAGTCACTGGCCACAGCCTTGTGCCTGAATATCACCCAGACCAACACAGGCAGCTCCTGGACTCATCCCAGAGCAATTGTTAAAGAGTGGATGGTGACTGTGGGAGAGGCTTTAATTCTGACCTGAAACACATGGGTGTCAAAATATGCTTCCTTAGGAAACACTGATTTTCCTGAAGCCCTATTAAAATTGTGTTGTCCAATCCTGAATGGATGAGAAAAAAGCAAGAAGTTCTACCTGACAAGTTAGAACTAAAAACAGGCAGAGTCATGGCAAGAAAAAAGCAACTCGCAAATCCACAGCATTACTCTTTTTTTTTTTATCCACTTTATTTATGTGTGTGTTTCTATAAACATTTTAACTACTGGACATTTCATAAACCATAAAAACAAACCTTCCTGCCCCCAAAATGCAATCTAACCAGCTTTTTGGTCAGACACCAGCAATGCTGCCAGGGCAGGTAGGTGGTATCCCTAGATAACCTCCACTGGGCATGAGCCAGCAGCTCACTGCCTCAGATTCTGAGCCTCTGAGTGATGGAGACAAGACAAGTTTAAAGACCTGGTTGCTCTGCTACTCCAGGAGCAGGAGAAAAGTGGGGTGAATAAAGAATTTCCCTTGGTGGAAAGTCACAGTCTGATGGAGGGGCTGCAACATCCACTTGCAGGATCAGACGCAGTGACCTCGGCAGGCTTTGGAGCAGCCTCGGGGCTGTGACAGTGCTGGGGATTGAGACCATGGCCCAAATGCTCCTTCCTTCCTTCATTCCTTCCTCCCCAGTGGCCCAAATGCTCCTTGTTGCCTTGTTTGCCAGGCGTGAGCAGGGGGAGCTCCTTAAATCCGCTTTGCTCCCTTGCAAGGGCAGGAGTTTGTGGGTGCTGATCCCTCGGGCTGGGCAGGCTGTAAGGCACAGAGGGCAGGGCAGGTGGGTGTCGGGGTGCCAGGGGAGCCCAGCCCAGCCAGGTGAGCCAGCACTGAGTGCCAGGTATGCCAGGGGAGCCCAGCCCAGCCAGGTGAGCCAGCACTGAGTGCCAGGTACCCCCGTGGCCCGGAGGGAAGCACCGTGTCACACCAGGGACGAGAGCAGCACAGGGACTCTCAGTTGCCCAGGTTCATGTCTGTGCCGTGGATGAGCCAAACCAGGCGGAAACAGATGGCCAGGAATCCAGTGCCCAGGAGGTCCCCCAGGGCAGTGAGGTAGGGGATGGAGAAATTATCTGGGTCCAGAGCCTTCCTCCACATCAGGCGCACAATCAGGTCAGCCACGTAGAGCAGGATCCCCACCTGGGAGAGTGAGAAGGAGGGCAGAGAGAATGGCACGGACAAACCCTGGGCTCAAAGCCAAGGTGAGGTGGCCATGGCCAGGGAGCCAGAGCTAACAGGGGCCCCTGAGCACTCACACCTTCTCCAGAGAGCTGAGGTTCCTCACTGGGATGGGATGGGATGGGATGGGATGGGATGGGATGGGATGGGATGGGATGGGATGGGATGGGTGTAGCTGGCTCCTAACCTTTGGCATCACATAATCCACAGTGCCACAGCCCTCTGCTGCCAGCCACAAGCATGGAACCCTGCTTGAACTGCTCACCAGCACTGCCTGGCCACACCAAAAGCATCTCCCAAAGGTGCAGTTCCTATCCCTGTGCCTTGAATGGGAGTGCTCCACTCACTCCATCAGATGAAGGGGTTCTGTGAATATGCAGGCAACCCCAAAGGACAAGTTTGTAGCCAGACTTTTTTCTCTTTATTCCTCTTTTTTCCATTAGAAATTCAGATCACGTCTACTTTGTTTTTCCTAAAAGTCTCAGTGGGCAACTGGAGTTTGAGACAGTTTCTACATCAAAGCTATCCCAAGCAGAACGGACATGTTAAAAAAAAAAAGTCTTTTTTTTTTTATCTCAACAGTTTAAAAATCTTTGTTGTGATTTCTTTTAATTCTTATTTCATTCCCAATTCTGATAAACAGATGGCAGAAAAAAATACTTCAGTTAAAGATTAAAGACTGTCTAGTTAATTGAATTAAGAAGGAAGAGAGAATTTGCACCCCACATCTGTGGTCCCTCCATGGGAGACCACAGCACATCAGGAACCAAGCCTGAGGCAGCATTTCTAAAGGTGAAAACTGCAGGCTGCTTTGGGAGAAAGGGAGGAGGAGAGATGGGGAAGTAAATTAAATAACAGAACCACAGAAACTAAAGCTGGCTGGAAATTTGAGAGTTTTACACAGATAATTCGTCTTCCTCAATCCAGGATCAAATACATCTACATCTTTCCTGATGGAAAATTTGTTTAACTTGTGCCAAACAACCCTCACAGTTGGAGATGCCACACTCTAAGCAATCAGCCCCAGAGCTTTTTTCCCCCCAAGGCCTAACATAAATAAATAAATTACTGTTTTTCTCAAGGCCTAACATAAATCTCAAGGCCTAACATAAAAACATAATCTTTTTCCATTTGAAATCCATGATTTCATGTTTCCTCCCCTAATGACCACATAGCAAATGTTATTCTGTCTCTTCCTACAGAAATTTGGCAGTTTAAAGGCCATTAACCAGACTTTTCCCAAGTCTCTACTTTGGAATAGTTAACCCCAGTCCATTCAATCACTCCTCTGAGGTCATGTTTTCTGGGCTCTGATCTTTGCTTTCTCCAACCGACCCAAACTCTCCCCCCAACCCTTTTGTTTTCTGTCTTTCTTTATAAAGTATAACAGAGGGGGGAAAAGGGCCAGGCTGAGTGTACCCTCCTCCACTGGTCTCCACAGGAATCTTTTGGGGTCAGTGGTGTTGCTGGGATGCTGCTCTTTATGCTGTCATTTATTCTTGTATTTGCATGCTTGGCTTTGGTTGAGGAGTTACCTCGATGCATAAAGAGAAGAATAAATATTTTCCTTTAAACTGTGGCTGTGCTTCTGGGCTTAGGGTTGTGCAAAGGTCGAGAAAAACTGATTGTTTACACACACACAAGGAATTCACCCTCAGACACAAGGCTGCTTGTAAGTCAAAGTGAGAGTCAGCCACCTCATCATGCAAATCAATGAATCACTCATTTTAAAGGGCAAATGAAGTCAGAGCCTCTGTGAGTTCAGGCAACAGCCACATGCATTTCTGAGTGAGAAAAATAAAGTTTACAGGGCAGGAAAAGCAGCAAAAGGGAACAAGCAGAACAAATCAGATGATCTGCTCATTGCCTACCAGGAACTTTCACTTTTGAAGACAAACTGCTCAGGGCCTGGGCTTTCCCTTTGTTTTTTGCCCACAAGGCCCTGCCCAGAGGGATTCCCTGGGTCTTCAATATAAAATGTGACAGTGGTTTCCAAAATGGGTGGGTAAAACCTGCTGGCTGCAGTTCACTGCTTCTCACCTTGCTGGGGTAACTAGTGGCAGCCTGGAAATACCTGGAGCTTAGAGACCCAAGGAGGGAGCATTTTCAAACAAGGTACTTCTTGCTACGCGTGTCTCTGCGCACTTACTGCAGCTCAGTGGATGCTGAGAAGTTTTTCCTCCTCTCACACCTGATCCCTCACTCACCCTAAAGCACAGTTGTGCTCATGTGGGAAACTAGAGCCTGGCAATTTGGGTGAATTATTACTGGAGCTACAGAATGTACATGATTCCTGGCAGAAGCACACCTGAAATGACAGGAAACAGAGGCTGCTGCTGAATGTTTTACTGTGACTCCTTTTTAACCTGGAGAAAGCTGGTTTTATGTTATCTGACAGATTGCTTTAGGATGAGAGTTTGGGGTTTACCTGGAGCAAAGCAGCAGCCAGATAGAACATCACAAAGGTGAAGGACAGGGATGTGTGGCCTCCCTGCAGCAAATGGATGGTGTAGAGGAACACGAGGTGCCCTGGGATAACCAGGAGGAACAGGACCCGGGCTGACTTGGAATTCACCCCTGCAGAGCAGAGACAGAAAGAGGGGTAAGAGCAGCTGGGGAGGGTGAGGGGAGGACAGGACACAGTTCATATTTTAATGCATAAACCTGGGGCTGCCCCCTCCCACCAGCCTCATTGCTAATGCCTTCTCTAGATCACACAAACATAGGAAGTATCTGCAGGATCAGCCCAGCAGCTTTGTCTAGCACTGAAACTACATGCCAAAGGCTTTGTGCTTCGTGCTGATCCACTCTGATTTTTGCAGAAACTCCTCTCAGCTGCTTTCTGCCTCCCACAACTTCTGCTGTGCCTCACTGCAACAGATTTTCCCAGTTTATAGTTGGATTTAGCACTAACTCTCAACCTAACAGGGAAAATCAAGAGGAACTCTATAAAGACAACAGACCCCAAATTGAGTTTTGCTGATTCTTAAGTGTTTGCAGTGCTGAAGAAGATGGAGGAATTGCTGATTTTCAGCAAGATTGTGGTCTATTCACTGCTCTGTCCACAGGTGATGGCTGTAGGCTGCCCATTAAAATGACTTTCTGTTAGATCAAATCTAAGATTCTTTTTCAATTACTTTCTTTAGTGCTCCCTAAAGGCCACTTTCTTTGCATGCCAGTGAGCAAATATGCCTTAAGCCTTTTTTTTCATGCTGCCCACTGCAAGGATGCTTCCTCTGTACATATTCTCTGAGGAAGGGGAAAGTTCTGTCTTTGAAACCCAGCTGATCCTTCACCAGCCAGGCTTGGGAAAGGAGCTGTCTGTGATGACAGAGAGACATGGACACCAAGGGTTCGGGGTCTACCTGATGAGAAGAATGTGGTGCATGGGTTGGGCCAATTCTGCCTCATCTTGTATGGCAAAACTCCAGGCATGCTCCAGAAGTGCAGGAATGTAGAAATTCGGCTGGCTTGGATGGCAACCAGATTCCCTCCAACACCTGTGAGGACAAAACACAGAAAACCTGTAAACCACCTTCACCACAGCAGGAAACAGCAGTCCAAAACCCAGCCTCAGGTGAGGCAATCTGCACTGACTCAGAGCAGCAGTGAGAGAAAGAGAAAACATGATCCCTGCATCCCTAGGGGTGCTGCACTATTCACTTTGCAGGAACAGCTCCCAAAAATCAGGAAGGCTCCAGTAATTGTGTTCTTCTGACTGCTGGCTGAAAACATTTTCCCTTTCTCCCCAGCATTGGATGTAAATGCCATGTGGCCCCTGAAGATGATGAAATTGCCCCTGGTTGGACAGTGAGCAACACCTGGGGAAAGCAGTGCAGATGCTGCTCATGGCCACCTCTTGGATTTACTCACTCAGAGAAACATTATTGTTTGAAAGACAGCAAAACATCACAGAGAGTGATTATATATCTGTCTGAAGGTACCTAACACACTTGTTAAATGAGAAGGAATCATGAGAACGAATTAGAACCCAAAAATGTTAGCTAATTAAAGTAAATTAATTCATTCCAGACTGATTAATTGTAGCAAACATGAAAAAGCAGCTATAGAGGGATAATGATCTGTGGAGAAAACTTCCACCACCCTAAGTATTTTCAGGGTGGAAATGCCACAGAAGAGATAACGGTGAGCCAGATGCTACAGGCTTCTCATGTTTTCCCTTCCTTGGAGAAGAAATAATCATTAAATGTGAGATTTTCCAGATGGGAATCAAAGTGAAAATACTCAGGCTGTCTGATTGCAGCTGAAGATGGGACCTGAGCTGTGCACTGCCACGCTTTGCACGGGCAGAGTGAAGAGCTGCCTGTGCAAAGGCACAGAGCACTGCACCACTCTGCCAGCAGCCCTGCCAGGCGGGTCACCTGTCCCCACAGAGCCAGCCACGGGGCTGTCACTGCCCAGCTAAATTCCTGCTGACTTTCCCAGGCTGCCTCCTTCACTAGCCATGCTGGAAAGGGTTTGTCAGCAAGGTCGGTGTCCTCATGCAGATGCAGGAAGGTGGCAGCTGGGTGACGCCTCTGGCACTGCAACAGGACACCATGCTTTGAGGGTGGCACGAGGCCCTGGGAAACTGGGTTTCCCTTGGAATGGGCCTGTCCTACGAGAATGTTATAATAGCACAAAAATAAGCTAGTGGATCTTCTGTGATACCAGGACCCCAGCAGTTTGTACTGATAGGTCTGTGCATAAAAGTATTGTGAATAAATATAAATATAAATATAAATATATGCACAAAATATGTTGAGATATATATATATATATATATATAAATCAAATTATACCCAATCCATGCATGTAATCTTTATATATATATATTTTAATAATAGATATTTATCTCATGCATAAATATAAATATAAATAAATAAATATATAATATATAATTATATAAATATAGATATAAATATAGATATAATATAAATATATACAAAATATGTTATATATATATATATATAAAAAATCAAATAATCAAATTATCCACGCATATAATCTCTCAGATACATACATACACATGTATAATCTAATTACATTAATAGTTATCAACATTCTTTATAGGGGTGGTTGCACTGCACAAATCACTGAGGGGAGGGAAGGAAACAAGGGAAAATGGATTTATTGTGATATCCCCGTCGGTTTGATTTTATGAAAAGTGTCAACGTAACTCTCAGAGATGCTGTTAACCTTTTTGCACAACTCTGTCCTCACTGCTATTTTGCTCCAGAGACACTTCAAAACATAAGCAGGGACGTGATGGGGACCAGTAGCTTCACTTCCACTCATGATGGGAGCAGGCAATTGAACACTGATCTCAATGTAGGGGCAGTGGTGGATGCCAGAAGCCTTGGGAGGAAGGGAGGCATAAATAAAAGCATGCATAGAGCCCCCATACCCAACCTACCGTTAATCACAGGTGTGAAAACTGCCATGCCTTCAAAGTTTGGGTCAGTTACAGTTTTGTCCAGGATGAGCCCACCAATGCTGTTAAGAAAAGGACAGCAAATGAGGTTGGAGCAATCTTTTCCCAGGGCAATTCCTACACTGAAAACAGCACAGTGCCATGGGTTACTGCATCCTCCCCATTGCCAGGGCTGGGCTGTTCACCATGTGCTCCTTTTACAGATCAGCTTCCACCTACAGAATGCATTACAGGTTTTTTTAATGGCACAATGAGTTCAGAAGGACCTCCTTGCCCACCCCCAAGCAAAACTGGTGGTGGTTAGGAAAGCATTACCATCCTCCCACAAAGTTTTGTTACACTTCTATACCAGACTTAGCGCTTTTTAAAAATTCTCTTCCAGATCTCAGCTGAAAGATGTAGCACAGGAAGACAGAACTACCTGGCTCCACATTTACCAGTATTTTCTCTTTACAGCTGGATAAGAATGAGGTTGAAGCCTGACAATCTGTGACGATCAAAGCCTGACAATTTGTGATGATCATCATCTGTGCTTTCAGTTTCCTGGCTTTCACCCATGTGGTGCCTGGATGTGCAAGTGAGACTTAGAATGATTTGCTTTTTCCAGTCCTTTGGGGGCTCCTTATCAGGTGCCTCACAAATAAGAGAGACAGTCTGAAACCCTTTGGCACAGTTTGTATCTCCTTTATGCAGGACTGAGAAGGACCAGAGGCAATTTAAAAAAATATATATTGAGAATCTTGTCTGGCAAGAGGATATTCTGCAGCAGGAGAGGGTGCTGCATCAGGTGGCACACAGTACTTCAAACTTTACAGTTTCTGTAAAACTTACAGTTGCTTTATAACAGAGTCTGTTGGAGAGCCACCAATGGCTGAGAAGCTCTGGGCAAATACCCTGCTGCTGTCCCTGCCAGTGTCACTTTGGTGGCCCTCTAAGTGAGCCCAGGGTGTCTCTGCAGTGTGCACACAGGGCTGGGAGCCGTGCCTCAGTTTACCTGCTGATGCTCATGGCAACAATAACCGGCTGCCACCCAGACTTCAGGACTTCGGCCAGGGAAGGACTTTGCTTGGCAATAGCAACCCAGAGAGGGATCATGACAATGAATACAGCACAGATCAGAGGAGAAAGGTACTTCACATCTGGCAAGGAAAAGAAATCTCGAAGTAAATACCCGGAGCTTCACTGGTTGCCAAAATTATAATGCACAAAGATGGGAAGAAATGCAGCAGGACTCTTGCTCCAACCGAGTTATGTTACAGGAAAAATCACATGAAGCATGATAGTCCCCACAAAACCACCTCATTCCACCACAGAAATCCATAATTAATCCCTGAAATTCACTGCTAGAGGATGCTGTTTGAAAATCAGCAGGATTCAAAGCAAGTTATATTTGAAGATGAACAACTCGCCAATTCCACCTCCAACTAAGAAAGATGAAAAGTTACAAAATTTCTGGGCTTCAGGGTACAAATCAAACAGCAGGGCAGTGGGGAAGCTCCTGTGTGGAAGCTGTATCCCACTTAGGGCAGACACCTCATACCTTCACCTAAAACAAGAGATAAGAAATACTTTAGGAGGCAAGCTAGCAGAATTGCCGAGCAGCTGGTCTGCTCTATAGGAACAAATGTTCTCTGGCACCTATAAGCCAGTTCAGATCTGGGGTTTCTTTTGTGCTAGCTTGCATGTGTTTTCATTAGGTGCTTTTTCCATTCAGCAGAGGCATAGCCTTAGAGTGATATTTAGAAGCAAAGAAATTAAAAAATAAGATGTGCAGCACTAAAAGAAAATAAACATGACTCAGAAGCATGAGAAACACCTTCGAGCAATGGGGCTGATGCCAGCCCTTTTGATACAAAAATGCTTCTTCAACAAAGCTCTCCATCTGGTCTCTGAGCTGGGGCCAAAGGCAGTGGGATGTAATGCTGGCTTTGCAGGTAATCTGGGAGATGAAGCAGCTCGAAGTGTGCATTTTTAAAAACACCATTGCCAGGGCCTTGGGCTACCTGGATGCGACAGCACTGACGTGATGGCATCTGCTGTGAGAGAAAGGCTCTTACACAAAGAGGTGCAGCTCTTCCTGGGAGGCTTCAGTGGGCACTGAAATGCCTCCTCCTGGGAGTTAAGACTTTTTGTCAGTGCTCTTTGCCCTCTGGAGTCATCCAGGACAGGTGGGTTGTGTGACAGACCTGGCTGCCGTACTGAGTCTCTTACCCACACCACATGTTGTTTTGAGCAATTAATTCCTTCTTAAGTAATGCAGGCACAGCACTGGAGTTGATCAAACCTTATCAGAGCCCACAGAAAGACTCCTGGTAGGATGAATGGTCTTCAGGCTCCACATTCCAGTTCTGCTACATTCTCTCACAGGCAGCCCACAAGCAATCTGAAACCCTTTGGCACAGTTTGTATCTCCTTTATGCAGGATTGAGAAGAACCAGAGGCAATTAAAAAAAAAGAAATTGATAATCTTCTCTGGCAAGGGGATATTGTGCAGAAGGAGAAGGTGCTGCATCAGGTAGCACACAGTACTTCAAACTTTACAGGTTCATCAGTATTTTTCAGGATACATACACATTTTGGTAGGACCCAGAAGTTTTTAGAGTGTGACCTGCACCTTATTACACACTGGGCAGGGAAATGGATTTGTTCAAGCACCATCAGCAGTGCCATCCTTCTACCTGCTTCATTTCATGCTCCCAATGTTGGTGTCTGTGTGCTGACTATTTTCCATCTCAAGAGGCTCTTTAAACTACTCTGGCAACCCCAGAAATGCTCTCTGGTCACAGCCATAGAGGTTATCATGTTGTTCTGCCCTGTTCTCCCTGGGAGATATTATCTGAGGCACAGCAAGTGAAAGAGAGATTAGCTTTACAGAGGCAGGTGCAATGGCATCATGGAAAAATCCTATTTAAAAAAAGCACCTCTGAAGCTCTAGGAGGACAGGATGGAAGCGATTCATGGGCCTCTCCCTGCAGTGTGTGCTCCTTCACTCCCTCACTTGTGCTTGCACATGGAATGAGTTATGCAAACTGAGAACAGCTGCCTCACTGCTTCTGCTCAGTCTGAAGCAGCAGTTTGGGTTTCAAATGCAATTGAGTTTCCTGGATCTTTTTATTTTCTTGTTTCTGTTCTAGCTTAGGCTCACAGTAAATAGCCTAACACTTTAAAAGCAACAGACATATATCACCAATGTTTTGAACTTCTGGGGGTCATCAGGCGCCCAAGCCTTTGGCAACCGGCAGCACAGACCACAGCACCTACTCCAGAGTCCTGCAGGCAAAAAACACTGCAGGCTACTTCCCTCCAACTGAATATCTTGTTCATCCATGACTCTCCATGTGACAGCATACAAGAATATTTTACTAGTGCCAAACTCCTGGAATTGCCTTGTGAAGAAGGACCTGCTATTACCCATGCACATGAGGTAGTTTTGCTTGGCTAGTGACAGATCGAGGAACAGAGTCAGTGTCACATATGTCAGCCTCCTGTTCCAAAGCTGCACAATACATGTTGGTCATTTCTTTGACAAATCCCTTTGTGTTTACCAGGCTCTGCCTTCCAGTTTGTTACTAAAAGAGAGTCTGGAAAAAGCCTCTTTGGTCATTTTTCTACCCCAGTAGCACGACAGCCTCCATTCTGAATCATACCAGAAATGCTGAGGCAGCCTGCAGTAATTTCACAAGGATTTGTGAGCTCCCCTTGCTGAGCTGCAGTTCCCTGCTGAACACTGTACCTATGTATTTGAAGAGTGTGCTGCTGATTCCTGCCAGGAGGGAAAGGGTTATCAAATCTCCCAGGCTCGCTGCTATGGGTGTGGCGACATTGTCTGGATTGATCCCAACTTTCCTTGCTCCAATGATCACACCAATCATCACCAGACCTAGAGAAGACACAGAGCAGGCATCAGAGAGAGCATTTGGGTGTGTTTTACCCTAGAGCTGCAGAGGGATGTGGGGGTCTAAGAGAAGCAAGAAGCACGTTACCCACAGCAGCACCATGCAGCTGGAGATTGGACACCCCCAGGAGTTTGTCCTTTTGTTTTCACCAACCTGAAGTGCATGACTCTGTCCGTATAACTGCACCAAGGGCCCAGAGGCACACAAGCAAATTCCAGGGATCAAAGCAGATACCAGCAGGCAGCCCAAATGTAGAAGCTCCCCTCCTGAGCAGCCTAATATTTGTTGCCTTGAAGCAGGACCAGGCACGAAGCACACTCATAGATAAGCACACAGGAGGCATGCAGCAGCCTCTTGGTGCCATCCCCTCCTCTGGATTCCACAGCACAAAGATATTTTCCATATTAGACTGAAATTTCTCAAAGTTTGAATCACCAAGGAGCAATGAGCTTCCTTATAGCAGCCTAAATTAGCCTTTCAGCCCAGCCATCAGACTGAGCCCTCATGTCCCAGAACCTTTGGGGCTGCTTTAATTTGCTCTGGGTGGATATTGATGCTGTGAGCAGCTCCAGAGTCAAGGGGTTATGGTGGTGGCCTCTGAGGTGCACCTGGAATACTGAGCTGCTTTTCAGCATTGCTGGGGAGAAGAGAGGTTTTGCTTGCCCAGGTAAGTTTAGGAGCACAAACCCCAGAGCCTGGTGAACATGTGAGAATCCCTCAGATATCAGATCTCTCACAGGCCTGTGGAAGAAGCACCTGGAATAAGCCCTGGCCAGGCTCCACTGCTAACTAGAAAGGGCAGCCTTGAGACAAGACATAAGACATCCCTTCAAAGTCCTTCTGTGGCTGACAGGCTGCACCAAAGGAAGCCCAAGAAATGGTGATTCCCACCAGCTCACAACCTCTCCGTGCCTGTCTACACAGCCCTCCAAAGATGAGCATGCACAGGAGCATCAGTTCTACCCCAAGAAATGCCACATATGCATGCTCCCTGATACAGCATCCCTAACACAAAAACACATCCTCACACAACGTGACATTTCCACAGCAGCCCTCCCAGACACCCACACTACCCTCCCCTCAGCACAGTTCGTGCTGCTCCCCTCCCTGGCCATAAAAACAGCAGCTTCCCATCGTGCACACCCACACACAGGCTGCCTGTGGCATGTCCAGGGAAAAAACTGATGTCAAACCTGAGACAGCACAGCAGCAAAGCCTCTCTGAGCACACCAAGCAGGGAGATTGTAGGGAAGAGCAATGAAAGCTGAGCTGCTGGTTTTTAACAACTGCCTCATCCCACGTTTTTCATCAAAGGCATCTACAGTCAGCCTTTGAGTCCAGCTTCGGGATATGCAGTTGTTCTAACTCGTCCCTTTCATTTAGAAAGCTCGCAGTATCCTTTGTGCCAGCTGCTCTATTCAGGGTATCATGCTGCCCTCGTATGGCAGACCCACAAACTGGAGATCTTCAGGCCTCTCAGAAAAAGCTCCTGCTGTCCAGCCCATCATATTCCCCTGGAAGAGGAAGAGCCAGGGGAGAGAACTGCCTGGTTGCCAGCTCACAGCAGGCAAACTGCAGGGCTGGCCACAGCTCTGCTCAGGGTGTGGGGAGACCCAAGTCCATCTCGAGCGTGGTCTGGATTTGTCTGCTAACAGACCCTCCATTCCCTGGGTGACATTATTTCACCCTCCCCTGGGAAAGGGACAGTGTGGATGGCTCGTGTGGCACCCAAGAGACACGGACTGGGGGGTTTGTACAGCCAGGCACAGCTTGGGGCACTGTTCACGTGTCAGGTGAAGCACATTTTGATTCTGCCTGTGGATGCTGAAAGCAACAGACCACGGGGGAAGAGAAGCAAAGGCAGGATGCAGGGAGGATGGAAGCAGCAGACATAGCTCCCTGCACCCCTCCTCCCTCTGCCAGACCAGAGGGAAGCCAGCTGGGCCTCCCTGGTGGAACAGGGACAGTTCATTCCCCACCTGGGTGCTGCATGTTTGATCTGAGGAAGCAGAACCACTCACCAAGGGAAAGTGCAGCTATGAAGGCCGTGGTCACGCTGCTGGCACACAGCACAGCAGCCTGGCTCAGCTCCACAGAGCCCTTGGAGATGGCTCCCAGGATCACAGCAGCAACAGCAGCCAGGAGTCCCACCACAGTGGCCTGGACCTGGGGACCAAAGGACAGCTGATGAGCACTCACCCACATCTGCTCCTGGCAGCCCTGGCTCCACACGACTGCAGCACTGCCACAGCCTGGAGGGCAAAGCCTGGCACAGATGCTGATTGTTTGAGTATTTAAACAGCATCCCTGCAAGGCTCCACTAGATCAGAAAAGAAATCCTGACAAAGTTTGCAGAAAATCTCTGAGGGCCTGCAAAGGGCAGATAACACTTCAGCAAAGGACGCTGAGTCCACCAGCAAAGGAATAGCCCTGGTCAAGACAAAAATGGGCTCCCCATCAGCTCTGCACTCCTGGGAGGCTTGGAGCTGTGCAGGGAGATAAGGGAAAGCACACAGACACATGCTGCCAGCCCTGAGGTCTTGCCATGTGCAAACTCTAGGCTGGCTCCTGGATTTTAACAAGCAGAAGAATTGCCTTTACAAGAGGCAATTTCTCCCATCTCTCCCCTCCTGGCCAAGGCTGATTCCCAAACAGTGCCTGTAAATGACAGGCTTTATCCAGGGGCTGCTGTGAAACAGGGATTGTGCCACAGCTCCTGCTGCAAAAGGAGTTTTATTAGTTCAGTTTGTCCACAAAGGCAGTGAATGTCTAGATGTGTTTTACAGCTAAACTACAAGCTCTGGGGCCACACAGAGCTTTATTGGAGGTCAAGACCTGGCTCTGCTTGGCTGTGTTGAGGATACCTGCCCCAAATCACCAGGTGTGTATTCAGCACTGCTGGAACAGATGCTGCTGGTCTGCAACACAGCAAGAGAAAAAAGACTTTTGCATCTCCCAGCTGAAGTGACTCACCTGGATAAGGGCTAAATTGCAGGTGGCCATTTTCCACTGCTTCTGGGCATCATCCATCTGTCCAGTGTTAGCCTAGGAGTGAAGAGAGGTACCCTGAAAAGCTGTTTCTGTGATACAGGTGGCTGCTGAAGGCAGTTTTACCTGGTCCCTGGGGGAAAAGGGGTCTCAGAGAGAGGCAAATCCAGGTCACCATCTCCCAGCCTTCCCTGCACTTCCTTCTTGACACTTTTCCACCAGCCCAGTGTCCCAGGGGCATCAGAGGCTCACACTGGAGGTGCAGAGGTGTTGCAGGGCACCCAGCTAAAAGTGAAGTGGGCATATCCACCACAGCCCTCACAAGACAAAACGATGAACAAATTAAACCATTTCTTGTCATTTGTTCCCCCTAAATTGCTCTGGTAAGCTACAATTTCTCCTGAGGAATAATAAAAAAAGACCAGAGTTAAAAAAAATTGCTTAGGGAGAAAGAAGAGATCAAATACAGAGCAGCAAAAGCTGCTGCAGGTTCCAAGAAGCCTCAGTCTGCTCCCCCCAAGGTAGGATTGCTGGGAAGCCCTCAAGGATCAATACCCACAGAAAAGCAATCCAGCACTGAAGCTGACAGCTGTGGAGCCCTGCCTTTGTCTCCTTCATGTGTCACAGGGCCCCAAATATCAGCAAGTGGCCACCCAGGGATTAATTCACCTTCAAAGTGCAGATGGAAATTCTCTGTTCCAGTTACAAAATGAGGGCAAACACATTATTTTAATGCTCACACCCCACTAGTTTCTACTTAGCAGAAAAGGGCATCTCTCATACACTGTGTGATTATATAAATGAAGAATCTCCTGATGTCTTCTGCTAATCACCCCCCTCCCAACACTCCCCACCAGCTTGTTAACACTCACAGCAGTGGAGAGCCTGGATGCCAGTGTCATCTCCAGATTTCCCTTCAGGCCAACCAAGGCAGGAACCAGGATAAACACTTCTGTGATTGTCCGGAACACGTCCCAGTGCTGGAAGGAAACAAAGGCAGTGACCTCAGCTTGTGCTGCTGCACCCCAGGGCAGCAGGCTCCTGTCTCAGCACCTCCAGGTGTGCTGTGCACACAGGGGCAGATGCTGCCCTGATGCATTTTATGTTTTGCATTTTGGGAGGGAAGGAAGGAATTTTCAGCTTGCAGTATTCTTCCTCATCTCATGCACAACAAAGCACTGCACTAATGGGGAAGGTTCTTTCCTTCTAAGGGCAACAGAAGATTTTGGAAACCCACAAATTAAAACCTGCCTTTAGCATCAGCCGAGACCAACATTAAACGTAATTAAGGTTCACAAGCCAAATTAGATAAAGCATGTTCTCCATCCTTTGCAGTGACACTAGACACAGGAACCTTTACTGCTAACCAAGCTCATAAGAACAAAACCAAAGATCTGGAAAATGATCTCACAACAAGAAGTTGTGTCTGTATTTTCTTACCAAACTTCTAGTCAAGCATCTAAGACTGGTGGGGGGACGGAATGAGACTTTTGCATCTCTTCTCCACAGGCAGTTCCTAAATCTTCCTGTTACCAAGCACATTCTTGGTACACCTGGAAAAGGTTTTGAATTAAGATATCTCATAAGCCAAACTTCTGGGCCAATAACTTGTCTGTTGTTGCTCCTCTGAAGCTGAACTGTACAAAGCTGTTGAACCAGCTGCAACACCAGAGACAATCCGAAAGCGTAAGAAACTTTGTTGACTGACAGGTCTTCTCTGATTTTTGTACCATAGAGTGCCTTGGAATAGAATTCATCCCTCCTCTGTGCATTCAAGGGTGTTGGCAAAGTCCTGCTGTAGGCAGAGAGGTTTAAATCAGGATGTAATCACTGGACGGGGCCACTCAGCATGAAGGAAAAGTAACAAGCCCAACATCTAAGAGCAGAATACAAGGAGAAAAGGGTGGCTGCAATGATCAAAGGTCCATCTAACCCATCCTTGGCTCTGCCAATGATCCAATTTGGGTGTATAAAACAAGACTCTACAAAAACAAGTGAATGGGATAACTCTCCTGTGTATTTTCCAGACTCTGACTATCTGCCACAGGGTACTGAGCTGGTGGGGGTTTTCTGCACGCTTCCCAGTGTTGAAAGGCTTCCTCTTTCAGGTCCCCATCCAAACTCCCCCCTCCAAGCCATGTGCCATCCTGTGGCACACACTTCCATAGTTTAGCTGCACATCACATGAAGGATAAATTTGTTCATTCCTTCCAACTTGTCACTGGCTAGTACCCATGGTGGTCCTGAATTCTGGCACTAGAGGACAAAACAAACCAGCACATCCCTACCCACCCTTTCCACATCCACTGGGATTCTATAAACCTGAATACCCAGGTGGCTGGACAGACTCAACAAATGGTGAGATATTCAGCTGCCAGCCTGTTAGGAAATATATCCAGGGTGGAACAGCTCAGTGTTTTTCTCTGGCTGGGCCATGGGAGGCTGTGGGAAGGTGGTGGTGTCTGTCTGCTGGGAAGACCTCACAGCTTCCTTCAGTCAGGATGAATGAAACTGGGGCTGAGCCAGCCCTGAGCATGTGGTGCAAGGACCTCAGAAGTGCAGATAACAGGCAAAACATTGTTATCAATATCAAAAAGGCACTTTTCCTGGCAGTGGTGGGAACAGGCACGTTTCAAAATGTGCAAGGTACGTTACTGCTGCATAAACAACCAACAACACAAAAATTATTTGACACACTACAGTTTTGTTTAAATTTGTTAACATGGAACTTAAATGCCTGAGAAAAGCTAGGGGTGGACATCTCCTTTAAAGACTCATGTCCCCCTCTCTCCTCTCTCTTTAATTAAGAATAAAGACCCAAACACATCTTTGACACCTTCAAAAGAAAGAGGAGAAAACGCAGACTTCACAGTCACAAGGTAAAACTCCCAACCATTTAAAGCACAGAGGCATGCAGAAATTCATACTGAAGACCTTGCATATCTTGCACATAAAAAGACATAAATAGAAAGCAACAGAAAAACTCAACTGTTTGTATTTTCTGTGCATGCCATCTATGGGAAATATGACTTTGGTATATCTAGGTAATCTCCAATCCTTGTGACATAATAGATTTTGCACGTCTCAGGCCATCAGAACAGAAGTTTCACCATATGAGGTATGATTTTTTTGGGATTCTGCCTTACATATAATTACACCTGAAAGCTCTGAACAATTAATAATCACACAACTGTACTAATAAAATAAAATAAAAAAAGCTGATTTAATTGCCTCTATTTGAGTCTCATTAGTGACTCACGGAGAGCCTAAGAAAAGATTCTTAATGATTTATACCACAACAGCCAGGACTTCATTGTGTTAGTGACTGCAGAAATACAGAATAAACAGATGATGCCTGTGCCATCAGCTTGCAGGACTGTCAGCTGGAGGAGTGGCTGAGTGGGGCAGTTTGGAGCCATGCAGGTAGGAAACCACCTGAATGAAGACACCTGGACTAAGCCTAGGAAATGCCTCTGTCCTTTGAGACGAAAACTGGCCCAGAAAGAGCAAAAACATTCCATGCAGCATTGCAAACCCACACAGGCAGATACAGAGCCAGAAAGGGACTCTTTCCCACTTCACATTTTCATAACGGAGTATCAGTCCTACAACTCAGCTCTGAAGAAGCTCAGTTAATAATTCCATGTTCTACCCACAGCAGCTGGATCTGCTCTTGGGGTCCCTCAGAGGAAGAGAGGGGATCATGGATGCACTGAGCCAGCCCCCAGCCCCAGTGCAGCCCCCCAGGCTCAGTGCAACCCCCAGCCTCAGAGCAGCCCCCAGCTCCAGTGCAGCTCCCAGCCCCAGTGCAGCCCCCCAGCCTCAGTGCAGCCCCCAACCTCAGTGCAGCCCCCAGCCCCAGGAGGGGATCATGGATGCACTGAGCCAGCCCCCAGCCCCAGTGCAGCCCCCCAGGCTCAGTGCAACCCCCAGCCTCAGAGCAGCCCCCAGCTCCAGTGCAGCTCCCAGCCCCAGTGCAGCCCCCCAGCCCCAGTGCAGCCCCTCAGCCTCAGTGAAGCCCCTAGCCCCAGTGAAGCCCCCAGCCCTATTGCAGCCCCCAGCCCCAGTGCAGCCCTGCTGCAGCTCCTCACACTGTCCTCACAGACCCAACCTGTCCTGTTACCTCCCCATCCATCTCCCATGGCAACAGCTCAGAAGCCTCAGAGGTTTTCCATTGCTCTGCACAAGTCAACAGAAAGATCAAAATATCTCAGAGTACAAAATGCAAGCCAATTCAAAATCCTTTTCAAAGCTAATCATCTCATGGATTTTGTCAACAAAGGACAGAGATATCTTATATCTGTGACTTTTATTTGGACTGTGTCCCACTCCAGTGGCGTGGAGAGGGAAAATGAAAGCGAAGCTTTCCTCCTGAATTCTCTGGTTTGAAATCTGATCAGCCAACTTCAATATGATTCTTCACCTTACTGTCAAAAAGTGGGCCAAACACTGGCAGGGCCCTGCAAGGTCTCCAGCAATGCCAGCCAGCCCAGAATCCAGATGGACCAGCAGCCAAGGACCTCTGGAACAGAGGCAGAAATGTCCAGAAGGAAAAAACCTGTGCTGTGCTATCAGCCCTGCAGAGAGACTGCATCCCCTGCACACACAGGAAGAGAAAATGGCAAACATCTTCTTCTTTGGGCATCCTTTTCCTACAGCATGGGAGACCCAGGTCTGTGCCTAAGAGTCAACTGGGCTAGATAAATCTCTTCTGTTAATCTTTCTCTTAAACAGTAAAATATGAACAGTTCTTGGTTTCATCCCAGAGCAGATCAGAAACTGCTAAAATCCTGAGAAGTTTGATGGGATACAAATGAGCAATTTACACTTTGCTCTCTTTACAGCCATATGAGACCTGCAAAAGACAGCACCAGCTGGACTCACAACACAGAACCAAGTTATTTCAAGATATTTTTTATGTAATAAAAGAAGGGCAGCAGGACTAAACTCAGTATTATCTATGCTCTAGATACCATCCTTAAGCTTGCCCATATATCTCCCTGTCCAAAGCAGACACAGAGTTTCCTAAGAATGTTTTGCAGCAACTACAAATAGGGCAAGACATTCCTTAGCCAGAAGAACCACTAGAAAATGGGCAAACCACAGAACAGACTCCTGGACTTGAAAAACCTGTAGTTTCAGTATGTGAGCCCTCATGCCTGGCAATATGAGTCTTATGGTACCTGGCCTTAAGCAAACAAACTTAGTGTCAGGTTTTAGTTGGACAGGATTGTGAGTTTCTGTCTCTCACACTTGCAGGAAGTTGAAAATAAACAGCTCAAAGACAAAGAAGCACAGAAGAATATCCCAAACCTTTAAAGGCTAAGATCTCTGCATTTTCCCAGCTACTGGTTTTGTTTTTAGCTGTGGGATTGTGGATACCAAGGCAGCTCATAAAATTGACATCTCTCCTGTGCCATTGTGCCATTTGTGACTCTCAATGCACTGGGCTCCCTCCTCTGGGAGCTGAACCCATGGACTGACCATTTCTATTTCAACATACTTCACCAAAATATACACTTCCTGTGGTTGTGGTTTACACCTGACCCCATTTCTATGAGTCAAGTGAGCAAATGCACAAACTAGACTGCCCATTGTTATTTAAAGGACAGGTGCAATGTACACATACATGGCCTGTGTTTCCCATCAGTTTGGATACAGTTACGTTTTTGAACACAGCTCAGTTCTTAGCAAGCGAATTGATTTCTGCTAGACAAAGACCTGTACCTCCAAGGTACAGAGTGGGTATGTGCTATGTCTTTTTCCTTCTTTGAAACAAATGCTAACTATCAACATAACATCTTGGGCAGTTTGAGAACTTCTGTAATGCTGCAAGACAGGTCTGTGCCTAAGCACAGCACAAGGTGGAGATGACAAACACAGCCCAGCAGCAGCCTGTGCCACTCCAGTTAACCCTTCTTTGATATTCCTTGTGCTCCCTTTAGTTGGACTTCTCTGCCTTCTTTGTTTCTTCCAGTGCAAGAAAAAAACAAGCAAGGTATTGTCTTTCCAAACATTCAAGGATCCATATTTAGCTCCTCCTGTGGTATTAATGCCAGAGAGTCCAATGTACTCCAGTGAGCTCAGAGTGTAGGATATATCCTTGAGAAACTCTGCCAGCCTTTTGATTTGTAAATCCACCAGCATTAGATGCACAAATGAGATCAAATTTTGCATTTCTATTTGTGCCACCAGTACAAAGGAAAGACGGATGGGATAGATCCTGCTTGGGGGCACAATGGTGTAAATGCTGCAGCACTCCCTGGCAGCCAGGGGAAGTTATTCTAAATTTATACCCACCTCAGGAACTGCCCAAGAAGCACACAGTTTGTAGGCAAGGCTAATCATTTTATGGTGGCATGCCTCTCATCACGGTATCTAAATGATTTCTAGACCAAAGATTATATTAGGTTGTTTGCAAAGAACTGAAAGCATGAACTTGCCTCTAAGTAAAACAGGTAGTTAATAACAACCCTGACCCAGATCTCCTTATCAGCAATTTTTGAAGGAAAGAAATGATATCATGCAACAGGGGAATATGCTGCAGCCTGATCCAGTTGCTTCACAGGAATCTTTACCAAAGTGCTCAGCTCCACAGAGAAAAGGGAGCACCCAGTCTAACACCCAGACAGTGCTAGGCAGCCGTCTGAAAACCAGTATCCCACACCACAAGGAACCCAGCTACTGATCTAAAGGACATGGATGGTGTCCCTCCAGCACAGAAAAAGCCTACAGCCATACTGCTGACTGGCTGCTAGGACCACACTCATTAAAAACAAACAAGCTCAAATACTCAAGGTCAGAGCCTTAGCCCACCCTCTGACTACAAGTTGCCTAATCACAGGTACCTACTTGAACAACATCCATCAAGAGGCCAGCAGCTACCATTCCCAAGCCAGCCAGAAGGAATGGCACAAAAATCTGGGAGGCAATGGAGAATGAAGTCTCTGGGAGAAATCCACTGGCTGACCTGGTCAACTTGCAGGTGAAACCTCTCAGCTTCTTGCCGTGGAAGCACAGTTCCAGCTGTAACTGGGTGACCACCATGGTCACACACTGTTACCCCATGCTCAGCAGGAAAATGGAGGGAGATCAGGACATGACACAGATCCTCTCTGTAGCTCTCTCCAAAGCCAGAAGGAATGTTTTTCCTCAAACTACAGCAACGATGCCAAATTCCTTTAGTTTCTTCTCCTTCTAGGAGCACGTCCAGACGATTGCAGCAAGGGTTTCCTCCAAAATTGGTTCAGCTGGGTTGAGCCCAGGTGGCAGCAAACTCGGTGGACACAATTTCTCTGATTTATATCCAGGGGGGAATTAAAAAAGAGAAGAGAAGATTGTAGAGATGCTTGTGGACGAATAGAAACGAGCCCACACCCCATTCAGCTCCCACCACTTCAGTAAAAACCAGTAAGACCTGCTCAGGCTACAGCACTGAAAGAGTAACAAGTCATACAAGAATCCCTCAGCGTGCTCAAACACACTGGTGTCCTTTCTCCTCGGGTTACATTTCTTGTCAGAGCGCGGCGCGCGTTTGATACGATGGTTTAATGTGTGAGCCTGCTGTCAACCAGCCCAGCTCCCTCGCTCCCACCACAAGCACTGCAGAACTTTCCTCACTGTCCCGAGGCCGAGGAGGTGGGGAGTTACCAACCAGGATCCATTCTGCACTTCTCCAAGGTGAAGAAAGGTCAAGGAAAGCAGGAGCCCGGGCTTCTCTCAGCTGACGGCGTTACGCAGGTCCCGTCCCCAGGCAGGTGACACGGCTGAGCCGGCTGTGACACAAGATCTGCCCTTCTAGACCCCGGCCCCTCGTGTCCGCTCCATGGTGGGACAGAACAATCAGGCTGTGCCAGCTGTACCTCTGAATGACTGGCTCTCAGGGGGAAAAAAAGTTCAGAGAACCGGCCAATAAGCTTCAAAAGCAAGCACCCTTATCTGCTGTCATCACTTCAACTTTCTGCTAGTTTGCAAAGGCCAAGATAAGAGTCCTAGCCGAGCTCATTTAAGGTAGCTCCATAATCTCTCTGCACAGAGGGAAAGGGCATGCTGTGAGCTGGTCACTCTTCCTGTTCTAAAGTTAAACATGCTCCTCCTGCATGCTCCTGGGAAGTACTGTCTTTGAGAGGAGGGTCTCACCCCACAGGCTTCATGGTTAAGGAGTTTACACAAGGTCAAAAATCAGAGTTGCACCGTGGTTACATACGGCAAAAAAATTTTGTATCCTGCTCTGTAAAGGCTTCAGCTCAAAGTCAGGCATGCAGGGAAAAGAGTCATGGTATTATGCCTGGGCTCTTTTCTAATAATTATTTTGGGCAAACTAATTGAATCAGAGGGTCAAACAGCTTTAAAAACCACCTTTTAGGGTGGATCAACCCCTTCCCTCACATTCCCTGCAGAGAGGAAAAGGCTAATGGCTTGTGGACTCTGTCCTTGTGACAGGGTCCCCAGCACTGCGGGGGAGTTGGAGAGAACATGACATGCTTGCAGCTAAATTGGGAACTGAGGAAGCTCTTGGCCCTTTAGACAGTGCTTCTTTGGTCTGAGTTCACACCAACGGAGGTGACAGAGCAGATCTCCCTGGAAGCAAGGCAGAGTGGAAAACAAATGCAAGCTGCAGAGGCTGTGTCCTTCGCTGCTTTCTAGGCTGGTATTTTGGTACAGCCTCTAAAACCTTCTCCACTCCCAGCTGCCTTGGTGTGTACAGTGACTCCACCACCTAACAATGGTCCAGTTAGCTGAATGCTAACAGGAGAGCACATTTCAGCTAATCTAACTGGAAAAAAAAAAGTCCCACAATATCTGGAAGAGTCAGGTTAATAAAAATCCTGTAATAACCACACATGACCCAACCTCTTTATACCAGCTGGAAAGAGGGAAATGACAGTATGGAGGCCCAGTTCTAGTTAGTAATTCACAGAGGCTTCAAGGAAACAAAAGATAATTTCTGGACAAAAACATAGGTTTTCCAGTTCTAATAATGTGCCTACCTAGTCGCACCTGCCACTGTATCAGCTAACCAGATTGATGACAGGCAGAAGCATTAATGTAAAGGAAATATCAATGAGACTGAATGACTCAAATGACATTAAAAAACACAGCAGCAACATATCCTGTACTAAAGCATCAGCCTGACGGGGTTTATCAGTTTATCACGCTCCATCTCTCTCCTTCTAAGCAAGCACCATAAAAAGCCCTCAACCGATAAATCAGCATGCAGGGAGGTAATTGGTGCAGGTGACCCATGTGTGTACACTGGGCCGTTTTATTATGCATTTAAGGAGCCTCTGATAAAGAGCCACACTATGTTTATCAGCAGAGAGATGCATCACATTTTTCCTAGCAAAGAAATAGACCTTATTTGTCCAGAAAACATATATTAGGTTTGAGAAGAAAGAAAGCATTGCTCAACAGTGGGTAAAAGACTGTAACTAGCTAGAGAAAAAACAAAACAAAAAAAAAACCCCAACAGCTCATGGCTGTGCCACTCAAGATGGCAAAACCTAGAGAGGTGCACTGCTGCCCTGCTCTGCACACAGATACATCCTCATGTTGCCAGAGAGTCAACAAGTAGCACTGTCCTGGAGGAGTCAAAGCACAGACAGCCTCCTGGGTGAGCCCTGACCCTGGCACAGTACAAAAAACAGAACAGAAAGACAGCAAGTGTCTGAGAGCACAGTTTCATGCCTACCTTGTCATCCCTGCAAAGACACAGACATGACAGAAGCTCTCAGAACGTGGCAGTGCTGGCAGCAGGCAGCACTACCCCAGCACCGTGGGCTCCCGGGAGAGCGATGCTTTCCAGGGACTGCACGTCCAGCTGCTCCAGCTCTACACTCCTGACTCTGGCAGCTCTCTCTTACACCAAGCAGGGAATTTTTGTTTCTAACCTTGCTCTTCTCCTCCACACTTTAGGAAAGGGCAGAGAAGAGAACTTTTGTGGAGAGATGGAAGCAGGCAGATGGAGAGTGCCTGGGGCCCAGGGACTCTCAGGGAGCCACTGCTGTCCCACAGAAACAACAGCAGCAGCCAGGCAGAGGCCAGGACTGGCTGAGGAAGGGAGGGCAGCAGCAAGTCCTTGCTGAGATGTGCTCAAGCAATTCATGGTCATGCACAAACAGCCACTGAGCTCATTGCCAAAAGCCACATTTCCTATGAGATGTTGCATGGGTTGACTTCCCATACTTTGAGCACTACTATGATGGCTTTTAGTGAGATCTGTATTTGCAAAAACAGAAAACAGACTTTTGCAGTTTCAGAGGAGAATGAGGTCTGCCTCACATTCTGTTCATATTAGTGGCTCAGTTTCGTTCCCTCTAGGAAAAAAAAAAAAAAAAAACAAACCAACACTCCCAGGGAAGAAACATTGAAGGAAAAGTCCTCCTCCAACATCATAAAACCATCTGCAATCCATTTCACACTTTAATAACCCACAGTAGGAAGAAACATACATTTAATGTCAGAGATCCATAGGAACAGTCAGCTCTAGAAAGTCTAAAAAATAAAAATGGAAGTGGCTGCTCAGTGTTCAAGGCTCTTGGGAGCCTTTGTCTCTAAGGAGACAAAAAGTAGTTTGACACTGGATTTTGCATTTGCCTGGTGTTCTGTGATCTGACTAGGCATTCTGCTGGGTATCAAGTACATGCTAAGGTCAGTTAAGGATACTGTGTCACTCCTAAGCCTCTATAGCTCTTCTAGCTCAGGGAGATCAGCCCTGGGTTAATGACAAAGGAACACAGCTCCACATTTGTGAAAGTTGTCAATGTAAGCACTGCAGATTCTCTGTCCCTGTATCAGATAGGTCAGGGTAGCTTGACCTCACAGCTAGTTAGTCAAATAAAAAGGTTAACAAAAAGGCATGCTGTAAGAGGAGCCCAGAGTGCAAAGGCATGGTAATTTATAATCAGCTTTAAAATGTCTAAAATTAGGTGCTGATCATTGCCTTAAAGGTCTGTATTGCATAGGAGGAAAGGCCTTATCCTGATTCCCACAGAGTCAGAAATGGGACTTAAGGAATTCAAGTCCTCTGTTGTGAGGCCTTAAGAAAGGACAAGGTGCACAGGCAGGGCTGAGCTGTTGTATGAAATGTTAACACTGCTGGGCTGGTTGATGCCTTGTGCAAGGAAGGAGAGGGTGCAGGATTGCCCAGAGCCACATCCATGAGCAATGTCACCCCTCTGTCTGCTACAGGAAACACCGTGCCACCCCAGGCTGCACTCACCCACCCTCTTCCCAGGACCAAGGAGAGATCTCTGCATATTCCTAATCACAAATCAATTAGGACTCCACATTCCCAATCAGCCTTCATGTACTCTTTAGTACCGTGTTCTCTTTTTAATCCAGAGGAAAGGCACCAGAAAAGCACCACGTGTCTCTTGAGAGCTGTACAGTACATAATAGCTGACTTTGAGGGACATGCTGGCATAGGAAACTGCTGCAAATCCTCCCTTACTGTGCCATTCCCAGAACAAATTCCCTGCCTGTGAAGAAAAGTCCCCCACTTATCCCACAGCAGGTATGTCAGATGAGTTTCTTCCCCTTACCTGAACATAATCCAAAACCATGCCTGCCAAGACCATGCCAAGCCCAGCTAGGAGGTATGGCAGGAGCACTTGCAGGCAAATTGAGATTGCTGACTCTTCCTGTGACTTTGCCATGGCTGCTTTCTCCTCAGCCAGCAGCTTCTGCTGTGCATGCAGAGAGACATCCTCTGCCTCCTGGCTGCCAAGTCGGCTCTCTCTGTGTTTACCCTTGCTCCTTCCTTTGTGCCGGGCTCGCTCTCCATTCCTAGACCTGCCCTCTTTTCTCCTCTGCCGAACTTCCTCACCTTTCATGGTGGCTTTCTTGAATCACCGTTTTTCTGAAAAACAAAGTCAGAAACAATGAGATAACAAAAAGAAGTATCAGGTAGGTGAGAGACAGGAAATTTGGCGCTGTGTGCACTCCATTAACCTGAGGCAAACTACCACTTACTCCCCAAACCCAAGATACTCTGCTGGCCCCAATACTAGTACTTTATCTTCAATTTTGTATAGGGTGGAACCAATCTCCCTTTCTGTAGTTGCATCTCTTCCTAGACCAGTGCTCATGCTGCAGCGCTTGCTGTGCATCCTGGCTGTTTCCCTGAGAACACCCAGAAGAATAGTGCTGCACATGGCCTGAACTTTTGACCCACCAGCTCTTACACTGGGAGTCACAAAGAACTTATGAGCCCGGCAGAATCCAACCCTTTTCAGGACCTGACCCCTAGCCAAGAAATGGGAGCAGGTGACTTCCTTATATCCTGGCATCCCACAGTTCAGCAATGGACTAGCATCCAGGTGTGTACTGTGCTTACTACCTAGCATAGCTGTCCACCACTCCTCTGTAACAAGACATTACTTTGATCTTCGTGCTGATCTGGATACGTTTCCTTCCTTTTGTGCCTTAGTTGACACACATGCACTACATGACTCATCTATCTACAGAGAAGTCGCCACGACTCCACAACATCTTACAAGAAAAAATAAACATGCAAAATTGTAACCAGTAGCCCTTTTGCTGCCATCAAATCTCATTCCTTGATGGAACTGTCACTCATGCTGCTGGCCCAGGCAGTGCCCCAAGTCTTTCACCCATCACCTCCTGCCAGTCCTCATCGGGATTAACCTCTGCCAGATGTTCCCTGATGCTCTCATTTCCAGGACGGAACACCCCGAGGCCCTGCGCTACCCCAGGCAGGACCAGCCCTCTTCTTCCCCCAACATCTGGAGAGCGGAGGAAACAGCTGGGAGGCCCCAATGACGGCTGGGGGGGAGTGGAGGGAGGGAGGAAAGACGGGCAGAGAGATGGGGAGGAAACTCCCGCTCTGCGGGCGGAGGACCCGCGGCCCCGTCCGTGCGCGGCGCTTACCGGCTCCGTGCGCTGCCCGAGCCGGGGCTGTCCCCGCGGGGCCGGGGCGATGCGAGAGCCGCCGGTCCTGCCCCGGCGCCGTGCCCGCACCCTGCTGCCGCACGCCCCGCCACGCCGGCAGCGCCCCCGGCCCCCTCCCGGTACCCCCCGGCCGCAGCCGGACGCTCCCAGCAGGGACGGGTGTCGCTCGGGGCCCCCGCTGTCCCAGCGCTGTCCCCCCGCCGCTCCCGAAGCCCGGGGAGGATAGCAGGGAAAGGGTGACAGCTTCCAGCGTGGGCAGCGTAAACAGGAGGCTGCAATTCAGAGCTGCGGAAAGACGTTTCCTCTGTTTGGGTTCGTCTGGGTTTTTGTGTTTTTTTTTTTTTTTTTTTTTTTTTTTTTTTTTTTTTTTTTTGGTTTTTTTTTGGGTTGGTTGGCGGTTTTTGTTTTTTTTTTTTCCTCCTCGTTTTGGCATTTGCGGGAGCTCGCGTTGCGAGCTTCCTGTGCAGAAGCCTGCCTCCACCACCGGCAGAGCACAGCTCCCGTTCATACGGTTTTTCTTCCCCTCCCGTTCTGCATCAGCGTGTTAGAAATGTGATTACAGCACCCATCACTTTTAAGCACATAAATCTCGTTAAGCACTGGAGTAACCATACTCATGCAAGTCTCCTGAATCATGCAGCTCAAATTTCCAGAACAATTGAGGATATTAAACCATACCTCAGTACCAGAGCAAACTTATATCCTGCTGAAGTCTCTCAGATGTCATGCTATTCTAAAGGGCTCTTACAGATAAAATGGTGCCCCTGGCTCAAAGCAGGGGTCACCAAAAGGAGTTGAAGGTTTTGGTAAGTGGCAGTAACGAAACCCTGCAGCTGCTGCGTGTCGAGGGTGCACGGTGGCTGTTGAACGTCACTCTGTAAGGGCAAGGCTTTAAATTTCAACTCACTTGGTGTAATTTTACATCTTTACTTTGCAACTAATACTTCCCTGAGAGCGGTCAGAAGCCGGTGTCTTGGTGTGAGAAACAAGAGGGGAAGGAACACGGTTTCAAAAAGTAACAACGTTGCCAAGACAGTTTTAGACCTGTTAAGCGTATTCTCCTATCATTTTACCAATGAGCTTCAAAGTAAAATATCTACAGAGCAAGCACAAAGTCTCCCGGGGAACTTGATTGACAAGGGCACTTCGGTAACGCTTCCAGCTCAGGAATGCAGCTGATCTACGGGGATCTCTCACCTGGGGCTGAGCTGCACCACAAGAGCTCCCAGCCCTGCCAGAGCTGTGTTGTCCGTGTGCCATGAGCTGCTGTGCCAGGCCCTGGAGCATCCCCAGGGGCTCTGTTTGCTCAGGCTGCCTTTCAGCAGCGGCACAAGGCCGCACCTTCTCGGAAGTGCAGCAACACTGTTTGGATGGATCCTGGCTTTGACGTAAGGGAGCAGTGGCTGGACCTTGATTGCAAACAGAGGTGCAGTGACCCTTCAGACAGGATAGCTCAGCTGCTCCTTGCAGCCTGGGAAGTGCCTGTTGGCACAAAGCTGAGCAGCCTCATGCTAAAATGTTTTATCTCCCCCCTGAGTTACAATTGGCAGGTGCTGCTTTCCTCTGCTCTCCCACTGAGGCGCAGGCAGCACCAGCAGTTGCAAGGTGAGGGCTCAATACACTCATTTCTGTTTCTCTCTGCAGTGCTTTTGAAGACTTTCCTTCAGCAGGGAAAAAATAAAAAAAAAAAAAAGAATAAGATTAGTATTCCCTTTGTCACCTCCATGCTGCTTCACAACAGGACTTTCTGTCCAGCAATTATTCCCTCAGCCAAGAAGAGTGAAATTTTACAGCTTTCTTCAGTAGTCTGTCTGAAGTTGTGATTTTTTTATTTCCTTCCCAGTTTTCTCCTATAAAATGGCATTTCTTGGGTAAGTAGGGAGTACTGGAGATATTTCTCAAATATAAATCTTGATTTATGACTTCAGTTAGCCCTGGTCACAGACTTAGTTGGACTCCTGAGCCTTGAAAGCTCCCATGTCACCACTGGGGTTGTATTAAGGCTGTTGGAGACTGCTGCATGGCTTACCGGGCTGCATTGCCATCATGGGACATGCCTCTGGATACCCACCTGCTGCAGCTCAGGGACACATAAAGAAATATGCATTCTCTAGCCTTTCTCCTCTGTGAGACAGTGTTAGCTACAGGCAGTGCAAAGAATTATTTGGAGATATGTGCATAGACAGACACAGGCAGTGTAAAACTGATACATGATCAATACTTTTTACGTTATAAATCTGAGGGTTTAGTGGCAGGAAACAGCAGGAAATTCCTGGAGCTGCTAAAGGGGGAGAAGGAGACTTGTGTTTTTGGTTTTCTTTATGTAATCTTTGAAGGAAAGTGAGCTTTATTGTCTGCTAGGCCAGGCCAAATAAATTTTAGATAGCTGTGTTAATTTTGTTCTAATCTCCACCTTCTTCTCTTTCTGATACAAAGTTCTGGAAAGTCCAGATGTTTTGTGTGCACCAGTGTTACTAAGAAAAAGTAAAAGTGTCACCTCCTACCTTCTTTTTCTCATCACCTCCCCTTTTTATAGGCACTCAACACTCAGTTGCCTTTGCCCTTGGGCAGTTGTTAAGCCAGGCTACAACAACAGACTCTCCCTCAGGTTTCCTGTATGGAAACAACCCAGCAGAGAAGAGCACAAGAAGTGCGAAGACCTGGTCTTTGTAGAGGGACACTTCTGTGTTGAGTTGCAGCACAGCAGTCCTTTGTCAAACTATTCTTCAGAGGAATAAAACCAGCCTAAATCCCCTCGCTTCCCCAGCACTCTGATGAGAACCATCTGTGCAGGTTTTGCCACCTACCAGAGTCCCAAGGGTGGTATTTGTGTTGCCTTCTATTGCTTGAGGCCTTTCCACTCTCCATCTGCCATTAGATGGCAGCAACTGAATGCGAATGAGGCTCTGCAAGTCCTGTTTATCCTGCGGCTTCTGCAGGGATTTCAAGCTTTTTGCTTCTAGGTCAATGGTTCAAATCTGGCCCGGGTCAGGAGGGGCCAGAGATCTTTATAAGCCGACACCTGTGGGAGCAGTTTGTGCATTTCTGCTTCTGATCTTGCGGAGGAGTGCCCTTCTCATCACTGGCACTAATTGGCACCAGTGCTTGACACACCAACAAAGAGGCAGAAGATGCTCCAAAGAGATGAATTCTCCTCCCTGAGTTCTGTATGACTGGACAAAGGGGAGCGTTCATCCCTGTGCTGCCCTCGGTAATGATGCCAGAAGAATGTGCTGGCCCCATTCCTCCTCTAAGAGAGTAACTGCCCAGAATTATCTCATTCCGGGCAGGAGGGTGACAGTTGGGGTCTTTCAGCAGATAAAATTAATTTGTTATTAATTTGAGATATGATATTCGGACAGAGTAGTGATGGCGCAATGAAATCCTGTCAAACATGTTGTAATACCTATGTTATTTACAGCCTCTATAACTGCAGGGACCAACTCCATCCAGAACTGCCTTACAAGGTGACCTAATTTGGAAAAGAAAACAGATACAGAATTTTCTCACATTAAAGGAAACCTCACTGTGACTTCTTCCCTTACAGTTTTAAAGCCCTGTGAAGGACTGGAGCAACTGATACTCTCCAGAGAAACCCATGAGATAAGAACTGAGCCTAGCAAGCATGTGATTGTGATACAGTTCAAGCCTGTGTGTGTATCGCTCAGCTTGTTCTATGAAGATTTGAGAAGCATGTCACTACTTAAATCCCTCTGGGCAGCTGGGCTCCCCTCCAACACACAGATTTCCCTTGCTGCTAATGAATCAGCCTCTTTTGCTAACTTACCTCCAAAGCTCGTTTACTTGGAAACCCAGGGAGCTTAGGGAACAGGGTTCTCTCCGTGCATAACAATGACCTATTTGAGATACTTCTCCTCACGAGGTAACAGAGAAGGGGCAGCAAAAGAGTGCTTCTATCCAAAAGGCATTTGCTGGAATCAGTCCTAAGCAATGCCAGCCATTTCCATTTTGAGAGCTGACATTTCATGGTGCCAGTGCCACCACACAACAGAAAACGACAGTGTGAGCCAGGGATGGGATCCAGCTGTTTTATTTTTAAGGACACGCAGCCAGGCCCGCTGTACACGTGGGTATTATTGTCCAAACAGCCCCCTTCCCAGAGAAACTGGTAACCCAGAATGGAAATGCTCCACAGCACTCCCAGAGCAGCATGGCAGAGAGGCCAAGGGCATGCTTCACACATCTGGGTGTGTTTACATCGCTGGGCTCTCTCAAGTATCATGAGCAGTACAGTAGGGAAAACAGAAATGCATTAGGGAATCTGCCCTTCCTCACTGAGCTCCATGCTGAATTAGCAGCACAGCTTACAGGACTGCAGGAAAGAGGCACCTGGTGGCCTTACAGGAAATGCTTGGAAACAGGAATTGTTTCATGTGCTGTCTTGCTCTGAGATGTGGGCTACTGCCCAAGCTTGGGAAGAATTCAAGCACTTTGTGATTTTCTCACAGTTAGTGCCCTGAAGCAAAATGTGAGGAAACAGATTATATTGTATTCATTTTGTATTTTATTTAACCCAAACCTCACCCATCTGATTACAAGTCAGAGATCCCAGGCTGGAGCTCTGTGGTTTCAGCACATCTATGGTTGATATCCTGCAAGGCAAGAGAGGACCATTGTCCTGTGTGATAATATGTCTTCAGATTAACTCCTGGTTGAACTGGAGCATTTCTGTTAGAAATTCTGTTAGTATGTCTTTATGAGGTTTAATTTTACCCATTTCAGTTTTCAGCCCCTGAAAGTAGTTACATCTTTATGACGATATAAGCTCATTTCCAAGCTGCCCTTTCCCTTCTTGTCATTCTCCTGGAGTCCCTCACGTTAGGAGAAGCAGATGAGCTTCCACTCCCTTGTGTGAGTTTCCCCAAAACTTCCCACTTAACCAACTTTCCAAATAGTGTGCAAAACCACAGAGCCCAGTACTGGCCAGCAGTGCTGAATCCAGAGAGAACCAAACTAACTGCCCTATGGCAGCAGACATTTTTTGTCAAACCAGTGACCATTTCAGCCCTGCTAGCCCTTTAAAGAGCGGCACGTTGGCCCATGGATTTTCATACCTGAAGTTTGCCTGTGCAGCAGGAGACTGTCAGTGTGTTATAGTGTCACTTCAGCCCATCAATAACAGATCTCTGCCTGTAACCTGTCAGCCTAACTGCATTAATTTGAAGGGACCCGTTTTTCCCTAAATAAATGTTCACTGGTGTTAATTACCCAGTTATTTTCATTCATGAGTCACCTCTGAGCTCTTCCATTATTTTGACTAATAACTCTGTCACAAGCAGTGACACAGAGCACAGCCTTTTTCCATTCTCCTGGAACATACCTGTGCTTTGCTGCCTCTGCAGGGTACATTTCTCACCACCAACAACAGCTCAGGCTACTGAGTAAAAGGGAGAGAAAAAAAAATAAAATCAGTGTTTTCACAGAATCACAGAATGGTTTGAGTTGGAAGGAATTATTAAGATCATCTATTTCCAACCCCCTTGCCATGGGCAGAGTTTTTTTCTAGTTACCAACAGGCAGTTACTCAGTCTGCTTCATCTCCCAAGTTTACTCATGACTACATCAAATACGCTCCGTTCAGCTAATGCTATTTTTAGTATTAAAAAGGGAGTCATCTTCCTGACCCCTGAAAATTCAGTAAGATATCATGATGAATAATAATTCTTAGTCATCTCAGCATGTTTAATTTAGCATAACTGCACCTTTGCTAAGAAACAAGATGGCTGTATTTATGCTAAGCCCTGCAATTAGTTCCCTGTAGTTCACACCAAAGTATGAGGTAAAAGCTGTACTCAGTGTTTCTCAGTTTCCCAGTTTGCAGTGATCACTTCAAGGCACCTTGCAGAACCATTCAAGAATACTTACACTTGCAGTGCCCTGGTACAGGACACAGCCTCATAACAGGTTTTAGAGGTGCTTGAGCATGATGGAGGTGGCAGTAGCAACTCTTTCTGCTGGGATGCAGCAGCTCCAAATGTAGGAATGTAGGTAACAAGAGCATAATTTCTTCCATTCACTTCTGCCTGGAACTAATAACTCAAAGTAAGCCAGTGATCCCTGATTTTTTTTCTCTTTTTTTTTTTTTTTTTTTTTTTTTTAGCTCTTAAAATAAACCATCTTTCAAAACCACTCAGTTTTGCAGAAACTTGGATACTATTGAATATATTTGGAGCTGTGTCACTGCCCCCAAGGAAGATGAACAAAGCAACCTTTCCCTACAGACAAATGCCTCTTGCTTAAGAGGAATTAAATATAGACACTTATTCCTTAGGGCATGGCTGTACTGAAATGAATGTTATTAAGTGACTTAAAAATTATCATTTTGAAATGTCATTCTGGTTTGTTAGAATATTTCCTCAGGAAACAGTTTCATTCTTACCTTTTGCTGATCTGTGTTATGAATTGTTGCCTTTGATTTCTTAGCTGTTTGCTGCTGCAAATAGCAACAAACTTTCCTTTCTGAACTCCTTCCAGAAAAGCTGAAGCTTTCTTGAGAAAGCATCTGCGAAGTCCCAACAATATTGTTTAGCAAAACAAAATATACACTAGAAGTGTCCCAAGGATCCCCACAAGAAATAGCCTCAAGCTTGGCAGTCTTAGCAGAAACTCAGGGCTTAAAGAGGACTATGAAGTCTGAGTGTGGACACATTCACTACCAAAAATAAGCTTTTAAAAAATGTAGTTATAGAATTCCAGGGACACCTTTTCAAAGGAATTGTCTAACAAGGCAGGTGCATTTTGTGTACCCTGTCTCAAGACTTGCCAAATGAATGTGTAAACTGCACATAGTTATTATGCAAATGTATTTTAATCCCCAGACGTCTCAATGCAAACCTCTCACAGGACAGCATTTAGACCTTCTGGAAGCCTTGGGAGGCACCAAGGTCTGGGCTCACACCTCTGGCAAACCCTCAGACTGTGCTCTTTACTCAGCCCTTGGTCACCTGGGGGCCCAGTGTCCTTCCACTGCTGTGAACAGGCACACACAAATGCCACAGATCACCTTCTAAAATCAGGACCTGCCTGTGGGCTGGGTGGCAGGGAAGACATTTCAGCAGCATGGAAATAACAGAGTCATATTTCCTCCAAGGATCCTTGAGCAATTTACGAGCTTCCTCAAGAAGATTTATTTGTTAAGAAGTATTCTGAAAAGTTGATAAATGTTACATAAATGTCCTGATGCTGCTGTTATTAGGCACAAAAAGGCAGATCATGGAACCCAGAGTCGATCCCCTTCAAAGTGCAAATACTGGGGTATCTCCCCATCAGTTACCATGCACTCACAGGGTGCTTCCCTGGCTGCAGCCCTGCACACCTGCAAACTCTTGCTCACGGTGTCATTTATTCATGTCAGTCCTAATCTGACAACTCTCCTCACTGAAAACAACAGCAACAACTTTTTCAGCACTTCAGTTCTGTTTCAGTCATGACTTTTCTCCTTTTTCTCCCAAATACCAAGCAAAGCTCCCAGCTTCTTTTCCCCATCAGTGTGCTCTCCACAGGCAGGAGAAAGGGATGTTGCTCATCCTTAGCCACTGCAGCCCTGTTCTGACCATGTCACCCAAAGGCAAAAAGAAATGAGGGGGAAAACTTATGTCCCTGCTCTGCAGCTGGGCTGCAGCGTGTCAGCCTGCTCACGTTTTTAGGAGGTTTGCAGCTGCCTGTTACTCAGCTCCACAGCAGAGGCTGATCAGGCTCACGGAAAAGGTATTTATTTATAACTGGCTTGTGAGATGGACAAGTGGTTTCTATATTTAATAGAAAGTGTTCCCAGCTGATTAACCCTGGTAGTATTAGGTTTGGGGTCTTGTTTGTTCTATTTGAGCATTAGCTACTATACTTATCATATTTCCAGGTCCAGTCCTCCACAGAGTGGAGTCCCATAGCATAATTGTTTACTGCTTAGAGAGGGAATATTTATTCTCAACCTGTCAGAAGATCCAGACTTAGAATTGTACAGTCAAGAGGCAAGGAAGACAGTATTTTTCAAGGTTTTTCTGTGTTCTTATTTTGTATTTGAAAAAGAGAATTGGTGTTTGAATACACTTGATGCTTTGTGCTGCAGCCACCAGTACCACATGAGCCCCTGTCCTGTGATCTTGTAGTAAGATCACTTCTGCCTTTTGAGGCCAAATTCAAGGGCATGCTCCCACCTAAACAGCAAGTTTAGAAGCACTGCATGAGATCTGCTGGGGGGATGCCCACTTCAAAGGAAGTGTGAGCATGCATTTCTCAGTAGCTCCATGCAGGGGGGTGGTGAGGTGGCTGCAGTGCCCATGTGCAGAAAACAGCTGGATGCAGGCAGACACTCACAGATGCTTCTGGAGCTGCCCTGCCCACCTCTGACAGCTCTCTGCAATCAGTCTCCTGCCACCATAGCACAAAGGCAAAAGACACTTGAGAAAGGCTGTCAAACATGGGTACAGACTGAAGGAAAGAAGCTCCTTATGCAGATAATCTCTGAGTTCCAGCATGGGTAGATTGCATTCTTCCAATTTGCATCACCACTTCTTCTTCAAAGGTATGCAGTGCATGATCCCTCTACCCTGCTGTGAACTGCTGTGCCAGGCTGTGAAAAAAGCACTGCTGTAACATTCAGTCCCAGACACAGGCACATTCCAGGAGCAGGAGACACTATTTCTGTGCCTTTCATTCTACCCTGTCCAGCTGAGCTTGTTTTGAAACTGACTTTCTATTTGTGAGAGACTTTGGAGATACTTGGCTAAAACACACACATAGATCTCCCTTTCCAACTTAGGCTGCATTTCCCTTGCGGTGCATTAAGGAAACTGAGACACAAGGAGCTCTAATTAACTCACACAAAGCTACAGACATATCTGTAGGAAACCAAGTAGAAAAAGACTCTGTAACCTCTAGATTGTATCACATTTCGTTATTCTCTAACCTCTTGTCCCGAATAATGAGGAACATCTTTCCAGACTCAAACTCTAATCTGGAGTGTTCATATTCCCCACCATGCAAAGAGATCTCATCCTGATATGGCAAGCCCAGATACTCTGTAAAAATAACTTAGAATTCTGATTACATGCAAGTGTGTATGTAATCACCAGAGACAAACATAATTCTAGGAAATCTTGGGGGTTTTTTCCTTTCGTTTGCAGCCTGGGCAAAGGGAAAAGGCCTCATGTTCTTGCTTGTGTGCCATCTTATCGTGTGCACTTATTTGGTGCAGGGAAATTCTCAGTTCCTGAATGCAACAAGTGCATGGTCAGAGAGGGTGCACAACCCACATGCTGCCTGCAGGTCTCGTAGCAGCATGAGAGCAGCCATCACATGCCTTGGCTTCTCAAGAACCTGTACCTACAATATTACTCAATCCCCTACACACTCCTGGCCATAGGGAGAACCATTGCTTGCCTGTATCAGCAGTGAGAGGTTTCTGTTAAATGCAGAGCCCTTCTGGGTCAGAAAAAATGAGCAGCCATAGCACATGATATATGCTAAGTAGCTCTTCAATCTGTTTACCAAAAGCTTTGATATGATTCTGAAGGATACTGGCAGCACTGGGCACTTCAGAGACTGCACAGCCCAGCTGTTGAAAAAGCAGCTTTGGAGGAGGCAATCTGCATGTGCTGCTAGTTTGAGCAGCATTTTACTCTCCTGTTCTCAGTGTTCTCATGTCTACTACCAGGATAATTACAGTTAACAACTGAGCACAGTCTGTGATAAAGCTTCCTTAAAGATTTGGGTGATAAAAGCTGCCGACAACATTTATGGATTTTCATTCCATTAGCAGTTAGCTTCTGCCACAAATAGGACCCGAACCAGCTTTGATATCTTAAGACGAGATCTATTTATGTATCTGTGTGCTAAGCAAAAAACCAGAGTCCTTGAAATGACAGCCAAACAGGTTTCTCTGTGCGGAGAGCCAAGCTGCTAAGGAGAACCAGCCTGCTGAGCACCACGTGTTTAATGTTCTGCTGTGCCTCAAGAGACAGACTCTGGTGAATGGACACTGCCTTGCCCTGCCTGGAAGCTCTGACCTGGCAGCAAAGTGGTTTGGAGTAATGGGAGCCATAAGTATGTGAGCCCTGAGCTTCCCATATTTGTGGGGTGTGTGGAGCCTGTGGCAGCACTGTCAGTAGTACATTACATCCTGTGACCTGCCCTGTAATAATGAGTCTGAATGGATGGTGACATTAAGAACCAGGGATAAATGTTTTGCAGTGTGTACTCCAGGAAGAAGGTAATAATTTAATGAGCTTTTGAAGAATTTGCACCCTTCCAGCAAACTCTGCCTGGGAATGAGCTTTAAAACAACTTCCTTCCCATCTATAACACCAAGGGACTATCACTCTAACTCAGCAAATACCACGTCACAAGTACCAAGGAGAGTCTTGTGTACAGGTGCAAAAAGGATCTTGCTGAAGCTCTCCTTACTCTTCAAAGTGCTCTATAAATAAATATCTATAACTTGAACTGGAAGAGTCCTCAAAGTCACTTGCAGTTTTCCCAAGGAAAGTGACTTTGGAAAAGGTAAATGTTCCAACCTTCCACAAACAGAGCACTTTCTCTTTAGCAGATTAGACAGTGACTATCTTCTCACTGTCAGAATCTAGTTATGCCTGCAGATGCACTGTAATCTCCCTTCTCCTCCCTTGTCCACTTAAACATCCTTGGGTTTTTTTTGCTTTATTTGATTGTTAATTAATACATTAGTTTAATTACCTGTGTTGAAATAGGTAATTAAGACATGGTAAACTGGGCTTCAGCTTAGGAAGAGGTTTCAGACTACTGAGATAATGAAGCATTGGGCCAGCATGCCTCCAGTAATTGACATCTTTACAGGCATAAACATCTATGCACTGGTAGCTGCAGCAGAGGATGGATGAGAAGGCTTTTAGAGCTGCCTTCCCACTCCACAGTTTGTTAATTAGCTATGATAAACATCAACTACCCAATTTCTGAAGATAATAAAGTCTAAGCAACTAGAGGTACATCATTGGGTATTTTATAAATTACAGTTAAATGTGTCTCATTCTCAGATACTCAATTGAGTTGCTCTGGTTTACTCAGCTACTGCACATCAGCTGAGCTGCATAAATCTTTACTTTTCACAGATAAGGTGGAAAATGTAAGCTGTGAGCACTGTTAACCCAGCTGAGTAATGCCTAGACGTCCTGACTGAATATGTCAAAATTGAAACAGGCTGGATCATACCCATTAAACATTAGGAAGGCTGGAGAGCCAGGGAGCAAACCATCAAATCCATCTTAAACACGTCTCTTCAGATGGGACCCAGTAAAAGTGCTCATTGTTCTCTGCTGGCTACAGAAGGGATTTGCCTTAAACACTGAATTTTAAAGTAAACAGACAACATGAGTCTTGGAAGAAATCTTCAGCAGTAAACAAAGCCTAGTAACACTGCCCACCTCTCTGCTTGTACATGGATGTGCTGGTTTTGGTTAAACAAGGACAAGGAGGAAGGCTTTTTG